GATGCGAAGTCTATTTTTCAGCGACGTTTTCATGGACGTCCCCGTTGTTGGATCGTAAGCGGTCCCTATTATTCATTCTCATTAGACGGCATTCACCGTCACTAAACATTCAATTTCTAATAAAGTTTTAAGCTAGATTCCATGTAATTTTCTTTTTCTTAATCGATCGTATATTTCTATTCGTATTAAGGTATCATCCAGGGTAAAAACCTATCATTTTTCGAAATTTTCAATTTTTAGATGATTAAGTAGAGCTCATCAAGAGCTTTCTTTAAAAAAAAATTCCAGAAAAAAATGTTTTCTCTGTGCAGACTTATGGAGCGCAAAAGTTTTTTCTATGCTAATTATTTTAATTGATCGTTGACAAGTCCTGTCATACTTCATACGCATGCCGCTGTTGAACCAAGCTAATCACGCAATTTGACAGAAATCGTGGTCTACAAGTACAGAGCTCACTGTTTTTCCCTGGATTTTGGAAGTGAATGCCTCCAAAGCAGAAAAAAGAGCTTGTCCGTTTTCGTCCTTGACTCTAAGACGAAAGAAGACGACAAAATCGTTTTGCAAAGTGTGGGTTTCGAAATTAGCAGAGAGTGACAAGGGCTCCTACTACAATCAAGAAAAATGGCTAAAAGATGACAAAGCTTCTGAAAAACCCATTGAAACTACCGCGAAATCGAGTTTCACGAGTTTCTTAGCGAGCGGAGCGAGCTTTTTAGGTCGCGAAGCGGCCAAGCAAGCGACAAATTCATGACCGGTCCCGCGCCATATAAAAATCGGACGAAGGACTTTTTTGAAAGTCTATTGTAGCGGGAGAGCAGCTTCAAGAAAATCTCCAGGAAGCGGTTTGTTGTCGATTTTTCCAGGGAAGTGTCGAACTTTTAGAAAATGTATCCAGTAAAAGTTGGCTTGGCTCAAAATGAAAACTGCCCGTCGCAAATAACTAAAGATGCTTTCTCGACAACAGAAGGATCGAACAGAGCAGAGCGTTCGAAATAAATTGTTCATCTGTTGTTGGGTTTCGTTTGTAACCTTTTCCTGCTGTGTCACTATTGTTGTCCCTTTTCTGGTATGCATCAACATTGACAGCTTTGGTGTTATAATCTGTTATAATCTCGTCACGGGCAATACGCCGCCAAAAATCTTTTTCCCCTGTTTTCTCGAAATGAAAATCAGAGCAAGTTGAGGGTACGTTTTAAACTCCAAGTCGGCAACCCGTGAACCAATTTGGCTGAAATTTGGCCAACTTACTGTCAGATAGTTTTTCTAAAAAACCGTGTCTGCGAATTTTGATTTCTTTTTTCGTTTTCGAGTAAGAGTATTTTTTTCACAGGTAGTGCTAATGATTTGCTATCCCTAACTTCAACTGCTTATAACAAAAGAACAAAACCACTTGACAAAAATCTGAGACACGGTTTTTTAGTCAAACGTGTTAAGAAGCGAATGCGATCTTAATTGGCTTCTTCCGTTTATTTTTGGCTGGCCTGGACTTAAATTTACAGCGACACCCACTTTCACAAAAAGCTTCTCATTTCTGAATCGCGTTAATATTTTGATGTTTTAAAAGGAATAAGCAATAATCTGGAAGTATTAAGCTTTCAGAAAATGTACGGTTTATGGGTGTATTTATTTATAAAGCAAAAGCGCTAGCGCCGATCAACGCGGGGAGGGTGGTTAAGGGTGGATGATACCTTAATTTTTAGTGCTTGTTATATTTCATATCTTTTTATCAACTAGGTTAAGTTTGTTTTGTAATAATTTTAAGTTGTTATTTTACTCCTTTTTCTACCGCAAAGAACTTATTTAAATTTTCAGGGTTCCTATTGATAACAGAGTCTGCCTTGACTCTGACGGGATTCCCCTGAACGAATAAAGGTGTTTATTTTTTATCTAAATTATTATCTCCCCCACCGTATCATTATTTCTCAGTTCCTTCTATATTGATACTTCTGTATTAAATCGCTTGACTTGAGGAATGTACATTCAAGAATTTTTAAGTTTTATAGATCACCTAATAACCATTTAAAAGGGGTGGGATGGCGAGTCACAAAACGTTTTACTAAACATGGTGTTCAAGTTAAAACTTCCGTAACAGTGCAGTCAGTCCCTATAAGTAAACTGGAACGCAGAGGACCGAGTAAAGGTTCCAGGGAAGATTTAACAGTCTCATCTCCGATGTGAGACTTTGTGAAAACAAAAAAATCAGACTGACTGCTATTTAGAGCGATCCAGTTCGCCGTTTACTATGTCTATAAATAGAAGGACGTCTCATTATATTCTGAGCAAACGGCAAACTCAAAATCCTTCAAAATCGCTCAAAATTAATAGCTTTTTCGAGGCAAAAGAACGACGATATACTACAGGTAAGTTAATACAGCGTTTATTTAGCATTCTTCCTTGTACATATTTTGCACTATCACACTCCTACAGATGAAAATCCTGTCAAGCCTTGCTATACCATTTGCATAGTATCAAACGTATTAGAAAGTTTTTAAGCTATGAC